AATATATAAATTGTTTAAATATGTCCCCTTGTTCGTGCAGGCAGATCTCAGAGTATTTTTCAGTAGCCAGTTGTAACTTAACACAGAGGTTGGGAGATTTCAGGCTTTTGAGAAATACTCTCTCCTTTTCTAAGCATGAACTTTAGTCCCTGAAATCTGCCAGCCAGAACCTGGTGCAAAAGAATACAGTTAGAATTAAATAATTCTGAGCTCAGGAATTTGTTTTCAGTATCAAAACAGCCAAAAGTTTAGAATTTCCAAGCAAAAATCTTTCCCACATTTCCTTTATTTTAGCTATATACGGAAGAGGGAAGTCATTTTGTTGCTGCTAATGCTAAACAACAGGTGTGAAAAATCCTTGCCAATCTATTACAAATCAGTCAGAAATGTACCAATATCCCGGATCTACTTTCTGCCTGCTATGCAGTTCACTCATCAAAACTTAAACTTACTTTCGGACTATCAGTATTAGCTCTGAGAATTCTTACTATGTAGCTGAAACAGGATGAAATATGGCAGACTTTGCAAGTTTTTTACTTGTTTTGTGTTTCTTGATCCTACTGGAAGGATAAATGGTTAATTTGTAATTGCCAAACTTTTAATATTTGGGATCCCAAGTAGCTCTGTAACATTTATCCAGTGCTTTTAATGTGACCATAAATATGCAATGTAGTTCATTGTCATAGCATAATTTGTATTGTACAAATGAAGTATACAAACATATGAAAGGTATACAACGCCTTAAGAAAAATTCAGTCAAGGTAAGTTGCAAGGAATTCACATATCACTTCTACATATCAAATACATAAAGATACCTACAGGATGAAATTTAGTCTGGGCAATTGTCTTGTATACTTATTTGCACTTAGGCCAGAGAGATTTGGGTTCAAGCTCTCATATATTCACAAAGTTCACTGGAGGACTTAGGCAAGGCACTATCTTTCATCCCAACTTACCTGTCAGGCGTGTTGTCATGAGGAAAGGTAGTGTATTTTTAAGAATGAGAGAAAATTATAAACAGCCTCCCTTCCATGGGAAAACAAGTTGACATAGGACAATTCACAAAGAGTCTATTGAAATAGAAATGCTCATTGAACTCTATTGGGCTTAAAACTGAATAATTTATAGGATTGTGCTGTACATCTCTCAGATGGGCTCAGCGGAGAGAAAGAAAGCTGACTGAGGCTGCAAATAGGAAGTGTTTAATTAAAGGTGCAAAACTCTTCAAAAGCCTCAATAGCACTTGCTAGCTCTGAACAGGAAGGCTCTGCAATTGACTTTAAAACACAAATACACACACCCCAGGTCTATGGAGGATGGGAAGGGAATGCAGCCTAGTAAAGCTCTGAATGCAGTGGGTAAACAGTGATACTGTTTGGATGTTCCATAAAAGGTTAACAAGTAAAGGATGACAATCCAGGGTAAAGGATTTGTGTGGAAGCAAAAGTAAGTCTCTTCCTACTATTTTCCTTTCTGTCTCTTTCAATGCTATATCCTGTTGGTCTCAAGCACTCTTTTCAGGCATGTCATAAGACTTGGAGATTTTTTGTTTTGCTTTTGCACTTTTTCTGGTTAGTACCGCTACCGCTTTTACAAAGGGTTAATTCAATCATTAAATTCAATCTTCTAAGGCTCAGTCAATTTTTTCAGTATTTGAATAAGGACTGACTCATCATATTATACATAATCCTGATGCTCAGTCACAATATTGTTTGGTGTGTGTGCATGTGTGTGTTTAAAAGAAAAAAAAACCTTGGTAATAGGATTTGACTGAATAATTACTTTATGTAACAGAATCTATGGCCTTGGGATTTAGGACTGTGAACACTTAACATGGATGTTTTTGTAGCATGGTGAAAAAGAGAAAGCTGCAGCCACTTCTTTCTTTTTAAAATGAGTGTGACTAATGTTCTTTAAATGAGAATTTTTATCTTATGAAATGAATTAGCATACACTGCAATATAGGTAAGAGAAACAAAGTGTTTCCATATAGATATTTGCAAATGGAAAGTTTTGTATTTGTAGTACGCCAGGGCTTTACAATGCAGGTCCATTAAAGGATTCTGAAGTAAGCAGGCACTGTCCTTATTTCTCTCTTGAATGGGCCCTTCCTTGTGGCATCTTGTGTGAGGATAACTACTCTTCCCCTCCAAATCCTTCCTGCACAGGAAGATTCAGGAGGAACAGTGTGCCTTAGCAAAATGCTAAGAGGCCAAAAAGCTTTAGAAGATTGCATGTTAGGGAAAGGATGCAAGAACAGACACTCACTAGATTTAGCGTTCATGGTAGAAATTAATATTAAGCTGAAGAGTCAGATTGCTATGTTTCTGGTCAATTTCCAAAGTGAATTTCCAAATAATTTCCACTCATTGGAGGAGAAACAGAGGAAACAGAAGAAAAGAGATACTAAATGGTAAATAAGCAGCACGGAGGAGCAGAGGCAGAGTGAGCAGGCAGCTGATGGGCTGGCTGGTTTGCTCATTCACATCCACCATTGCTGCCAACCCTGCCGACACTTCCCGGTCGGTCTGTCTCTCTCTGAAGAGGCTGCCAGTTGTTACAGCATCTGGCCAGGGCTGGAGATGAGCAGCAGCCATGGAGGAAAAATGCGCTGTGGCTGCCCGCACACTAGGGCCTGCCAGAGCCAGAGATGCAGGGGAATGCAGCAGCCAGGTGGTGATGTGGGGAAGCTTCCAGAGAAAATGCAAACATGCCTACGGAGATAAGTGGGAGGAAAGGAAAAAGACAACCTTTCCAGTTTCTTTTTAATTGATCTGCTGCTCTCCATCTATTTTGAGTTCTCTGCCTGGGACTTTCATTACTTTGGGACTAGCAACTATGTCCTTTAAAAAAAATTTACTTATAGATTACAGGGGTGAGGAGGTCTGAGCCAGATAATACAGTACCTCCTGCACTTACTCCAGAGTAAAAATGAAAGGAAGTCATATCTGCTAGTCATTTGGCAATGGTAACTTCTGTATTGGCTCCGAGGCAATATTTTGTTCTAACTTTATCCTAATGTAAGTGGATGTATTCGAGGAACAAGAAGAGTTTTTAATATCTGACCTAAGGATATACAGTGAAATGTGTTTCCCTTAGAAATTGCCTGGCTGGCTTATTATATGCAAGACTTATCTGCCTGTTTCCACCTCCTTATCTACCATAATTCTGAATATTTGATTTTATTCTGTTCAATAGTTTGGTAACACAGGCTCTTTTTCCATGCAAGTGGCTATAATGTATGTAAAATGGTGTGTTCTGATAACACTTCTTACAGTATTAAAGTCACTTTGCTATTCACAGAAGTAGGCAGCATTACCCATTAGAGTACATCATCATCATCATCTCTATAATATTTCATATTTCTATGCCACCCAACAGCCAATGATCTCTGTACCAAAGGGGAAGGACAAGAGAGCCACTGGTGCCAATGCAACATTCCTGCAGGCCATTTCGTTCTTGTCTCTATAGAAAATCGTCTTTGTGAAAAATAATGTTTTCTGCCATTTTAAAGGTGCTGTGAGTATTCTCTGTGCCACCAATAAGCTGATACATGCCATGGCATGTAAGAGAAGCAGAAAGAAACTTGCACCTCCATATTCTAAAGTTGTCGGGAGCTGGATTTCCCCTTATTCGTTTCAAGCAACAGACAGTCCCTTTGCAATATTTCCAGTTCACAGCTAACAAAATAATGCCACTGAAAGATGAGTCTCTGTACATGAGCAAAGTGATTTGTTGAACCCAAACTAGAAACCGCTTCCAAAAACAATCCTTTTCAATAACCCTGGGCTGCACTGCTCTGGGTGAGCCCCTCTGGAGAAGGTCTAGTCTCCTAGATCCGTGCAGGTCTTCTAATTGGATGGCCCTCCTAACCTGACACTGTGTCATGAGATCAGGGACAGGACTGGACACGGGCTGGTCTTCCTCCTCTTCCTTGTCCCCTCCCTTCACTTCCAAGCCCTGTCTGTTCCCATGGTTTTCCTGAACACCTGCAAATGGCAGCCTTGAGATAAGCTCACCATCCTCCACCATTTCAGTTCCCACATTCCCTGTCCCCAGTTACTTCAGTCCTCATCTGAAGAGTCGGAAAACCTGGACTCTGGAAAGCATGCCAAGAATAGCTGCCTCTTCCATTCCCAACAAAAACAGAATATAAAAATTTTCCATTCCCTTCTGTTTCCAGAAGAAGCCATGTGTGACTCTGTCTCCCCCCTCCCCCTCCCCACATACACCATTCTCTCAGTGGCAGATGCTGTTGAGAAATATGGTCCTATTAATGTAGGGATTAGACTTTGCAAAAGCTGCAAAGAGCAGGAGTAAAACTGATGCACTTTCTCCCCAAGTCCAAGTAATTCCTTCACTATTGTGAAGAAATTAAGAAGGATTTTGAAAATCTCTGCAACTCCAACACTACAGCAAAGGGGTTCTCCCCATTTGAGCTTCTCAGTTTCTTCACTGGTTTTTTGCAGCGTCTACTCACAATAGTCCCAGTTCAAGCAGTATGTTTTAAATCACTTGCAGTTTTGCCTCTTGGTACTCCCTGTAGAAGTAAAGGAAATCCTCATTTACACCCTCCTAATTCTCATCAGCATTGGGAGCAGTTTGCCTATCCAGACATCAATGCTTCTACAGATAGATATGCACATAAGAAGGGTCTAAGAACTTGCCTGCACTACAGATCTGCAATATTGGCTTATGGGCAGTATAGAATTAAAATACCTGCAGTGGAAATCCAACTTGGTGGATGAGCCCTTCATGTGTGACCAAGCTGCCTGTATCATGTAATTGCATAAATGTACAGGAGCACAAATACTCAAGTGAAAAACAGCCCTTGAAGGGAAACAGTTCCATAAAATAATTTAGGGCAGCTTTAGAGGGATAAATGAATTGTATATGATCTAATTACCCCAAAAAACCTTTGCAAAACAGAGAGGAAATACAGTTAGGATTGCAGTATGACTTATTCATTCTAAATTTTCTGCATTTTATCTTTTTTCCAGACTTTTAAGGGCTCAGTCCTTAGAATGGTATTACAATAATGTGAAAAGTCGCTTCAAGCGTTTTGGAAGTGCTAAAGTCCTGAAGAATTTATACAGAAAACATCGTTTGGAAGCTGGAGCTTGTTCTGACATACTAGGTATGGGGGGGGGGCGGGGGGACAACTCTTGTGACTAAAACATTTGCTATAGCTTTTATGTGTGTGTGTTTGTGTGTGGAACAGAATACACTAGATGCACAAAAGTTTGGGTAGCTGCATGGATATATGGGGGGAGCAGATTGTTCACATGGCAATGGAATGCAAAAATGACACACTAACAATTCTGCATAAAACTTTAAATAAGCAAAGAGATTGTGGGATAGGTCATAATAGCAATAACAGATGATAACACAATTATTCCAGTTTTGCTAAGTTGATTAGTACCTGTAGTGGGACAAGAAGCCATTGTCTACATTCAGGCTGAAACAAATGAAATCAAAGTTCTTTAACAGTTTTGATTCTCACAGCAGATTTTTCCATCTGAAATTACTTTGTTGGAAATTGGAAACTTTTGGGTCAGCAGTAAGGATGTTCCTTCCATCTGTTTATTGTTTTAGTGAATATTCTACTGGGTGAATGGCTCTGTAGATATGGGAAATATTGTGGCAGTTAAAAGAACAACACAAACACAACATTTCTATGAAAAAATCAGCCTGCCAAACTATTAGGAATCAAGCAGTAACAAGTTTCAAATCAAAGCCTGGCAATAAAATGTTGCCCAGAGACAACCTTGCCTGCAAATAACTCCAAGTAGCAGAGAACAGAAAGAAATGTGTAGTCCACCTTATTTATTAGTACAACCAGTGCTCACTCCCAGGCTTAGCAAGAAGGATCTGTTGGTTATCTCCCTTTATATAGTCTTCATGTAACCCAGCCGGGTGCAAGGAGAGCCAAGAGAGCTCCAGGGCTAATAAAGTCTGTGTTCATAGATAAATGCCTTCTTTCTCTCCCCTTTTACTTTCTATGGTGATTTTCTCCAATAGTATTTTTCATTTAATAGGCTTTACGGCAGTTTGCTCGTAAGTACAGGTTGTTCATTCCCCAGGCATTGTAACTTGGGGACTGCCTGTACTTCCTCATCCAGCCTTCTCAACCTGTTGTTCTATAGATATATTGAACCATAGTGGACCATCATCATTTCCAGCTAGTGTAGCCAACGGTAGCACAGTGCAACACATCTGGAAGGCATCAGATTGGGGAAAGTATCCCAGGTTAAACCTTGTTGTCATTGCTGGGGAGCTCCAGAGGGTAACCACACTAAGCCGTTCTGCCCTAATGGAATCTCTGATGGGAGAACAATGAGCAGAAGAGGAAACTCAAAAGACCAAAAACATGGAAGACCTGTGTGCTGCTGGATGAGTGCTCTCTTCTGGTCAGAGTACTTCAGAAACAGCTAAACTCTGGGATTCCACATCACACCTTTGATGTGATGCAGTCTCTCCTCCATCATCAGAACCTCATGAGCTTCCTGAATCTTCTCTTTAGTATCCTGTTCACAATTCATTCTGAAAAAATCCATGTAGGTTTGATGTCTGCATAACATTTCCCAGATGCATTCTTCCATGGAGCTCATATCAGATATGGGTTCACCCTTCTCACTTGTGACTTCTACATGGTTCTCTCTCACACACACACATCCCAGACTACAATTCATTTCAGAAAAATCCTCCCAGTGGAAAGGGTCAGGTGGGAAAGGGAGGCTTGCAGCCAGCTGGAGAGGCTCTGCAGACCACAGGTTTCCCATCCCTGTCATATATTTTAAACATACAATAAACATAAAATACTTTTGTTAATTGCAAAGTCATGCCCAGCCCATCACGACACCATGCACAACATTCCTCCAGGCCTTCCTGTCCTCCACCGTCCCCCGGAGTCCACTTAAGCTCACGCCAACTGCCCCAGTGACTCCATCTAGCCACCTCATCCTCTGCCGCCCCCTTCTCCTTTTGCCATCAATTGTTCCCAGCATCAGGGTCTTCTCCAGTGAGTTCAGGGTCTGTAGCCACTCCTTGGTCAAGTTGTTACTTGCAAGAATGGTTTGGTTAAAGGGCTTTAAGTAGTGGGGTAGCAGAACCAAAAAGTGCATAGATGCACTTTTCAGCTAATTGCATCAGAGATGTCATCTGCCACACACAGACAAACATCCCTCACAATTCCCTGTTCTCTGTGAGCTTACCTGAAGTGAGAGGAATGGATTTTCCCAGCAACAATATCTCAATGTAAAGTATTTGGGGGTGGCTTGGGCTCAAATGGTCCATTTGACTTGCTTCTAGTGCAGATGAAAAAGGCTAAAAAGGGATTGTTGATACAGGGTCAATGCTGCTGCCTACATTTTGAGGATCTTCCTGGGGTGTAGCTATGGGGGAGCATCCTGATGGGAATTGCCACCTCAAAATATACCTCTATATTACTGGCTGCAAAGTGGGAAGTAAATAATGACAGGAGACACATTTTAGCTGCCATTGCTGAAAGCGGAGGAACAGAAAGAATGAGCTTGGAACGGAACAAGGCTACCCCTGCACAGGGTACCTTTCCCCTTTTCCCGTAAAGGCACATGGGTAGCAACTCTGTTACAGTGACCATGGCAGAAAGTGAACATTTTAAACCATGCTGATGAAACCCAGATTTGTGATTGTCATTACAGCTTTAAACAAACAGTTCTTCTTTTGTCATTGCTGTCATTGCTAACTTCTCTGTGTTTTTCCGCTTCCCGGTGTGACTTTAATATCGCTTTTAAAATCCATGATCTATTCCAAGTATAAAGTGTCACATTCAAAGCAAGTTCTATGCACTTGAGTTCTATGTGCAATTGCTACTTCTTAACTCCATGTTCTCTCTCTTATTTCAGCAAACATTGTCTGAATTCTGGGATTAACACACCAAGTGAGAGATTTCTCTTTTGAAAGGGTCTTTTTTAAAGATGAAAATATAGGTTCTTACCGGAATTTCCAGATAAACATTTTTGAGTTAACAATATTCCTTTGCCACCTTGTCTGTAAGCAGTGCATTTAAAATTGCTGCTACATTCTAAGAAGAGCTCTTATCCTGATATTAGAAATGACATTGTAGGGTAATAATGCTGACAATTATATTCTTTTTTGGCAGAAGCAGGAAGCTTCTGCGAAGGAACAATAGAAAATGAAGGAAGCATTTGTGGCAGCGACTCTACTTTCTACAGACAGACAGAAGGTAATTCCGTTTGAAGCATTTGTTTGTTGTTGCTTTTACTGTAACTAAATTGTTATTAAGCACATTTGAATTCCGAATGAAATATGCTGGAGAGTAGATGGACCTTCTTTAAATGCCATTAGTGCCCAAGAGTTTTAAGATGGGCTTCTAAACAGGCTCTTCTATTTTTTTTTAAATATTGTTTTATTTGAGGGGGAAAGGGAAAAATCAATTACTAATTACTGGTGGGTATGTGGATATGTTATCAAGCAAATTATTATTTATTTGATATCCATGTTAAACTTTTTTTGTAACAACCTAGCATTGTCAGAAGTGGAGTTATAAAATTGATAACAGTAATAATTATTACTAACTTTTTCTGTAATTTCCGGCACTCAGTGCTTTATGTAATTTTTGTGTAAGGTCCCTTGGTATGTTTTTGTTTCTTTTCCATGTTACTTTTCTCCCTAAAATAAAAAAGAAATAAATAAGCCCTTCTATTCACTCATGACAAGATTTGTTTTCAGTTAACACATGGAGCAGTTTTTAAAACTGGATACAAATGGATTATTTTCCCCAATACTACCCTACCCTATACTAAGTAAGCAATGTCCATTGCAGGAGTAGGCAGCCCTGTTAAATTTTTTTGATGGTTATTTTGGGCATTGTTTGCTATCACTTCAGTAGTCTTTCAACCAAATCTTTTGGGAGGTTCAGTGGAGACATGATCATATCACAATCACACACTCTTTATTGCAACTTAGTGTAAGGATGGATGGATCACTCTGTTGGGTTAAATTTATGGTCTACCTTATGTGAACAGAAGGGCTCTGATCATGGATAGATTGGGGGAATCCTCTGACCTGTTCCGCACCACAGTGCAGCAAGGTCCCATAACTCACTATACAGAATTTACAGGTGACTGAGGGGTATCCATGGGGGAAGGAGGTGAAGGAGTCCCCTTCCACCATTCCAGTTGTGCATACCAAATCTGAACCCAGACCAATGTAAGTTTCTCAAGCATTAAACATTTATTTATGTAAGCCGTCTTGAGGCTTTCGTGACAGGACAGCATATAAATATCTTAAAATAAATAAAAATAAATTAATTAAACCATAACTTTGTTCTATCCTATGTCTTTGCAAATTCATAAATCCAGATTAGAAGTTTGCGTTCATGTTCATGTGCAATTCTTCCTAACGTGCATTTTGTACACAAACTTCCCTAACATACACATTTGTATTTGGAACCTTTGAGCCAAAAGCTGCAGTGTAGTATTTGGTAAAGAGTGTAATCTAAAGGATAAGTGTGTCACCATCTGGATATTAATCCAGAAAGTGTGAATTAGGTTGATTTACTTAAAAATGTGGATCAAACAAAATTCTGCTTCATCTCTACCTAACTATAAGATGTTCACTAATGGCCCATTTCTTGGCAGTGTTTTTTACATGCAAGGAAGGTAGTCAGTTAATGACATAAAAATACCTAAATTGTGTGTGGTAAATTCCAAAAGTCTCCTAAATGTAAGGAGACTGAGAGCCAGTGTGGTGTAGTGGTTAAGAGCATGGGACTGGGACTCAGACGATCTGCGTTCTAGTTCTTGCTCAGCCATGGAGCCAGTTGGGTGACTTTGGGCCAGTCACAGACTCTCAGCCCAACCTACCTCACAGGGTTGTTGTTGTGGGGATAAGATTGAGGAGATGTAAGCTGCCTTGAGCCTTTTGTAGGAAAAAGGCAGGATATAAATTGAAAAATAAACAAATAAATAGATGTAAGGATTCTTCCGATACACCACTTATTTAGTCATATTGATGAATAAGTTAATATTTATGCATATTTTTCTTTTGTGGATAGAAAGAACCAGAACAACTTAGATACAAAGTAAGCTATGCATAAAGAAAGCTAAACATACAATGAAACCGTCATAGTAATAATCTGCCTATAGGTGTGTATAGTGGCTGGAGAGAACCAGTTTCAGATTCCCATATAGTTGTGAAGCACACTGAATGGCTTTGGACTCCTTCTACCTCATCTACCTTGCAAAGTTGCCTCAAGGATTGAAAGAAAAAAAATAGTAGGGTAAGACCTGTTGGGAATGCCTCAATATGCTGGCTTTCTGCTTGCATTGTAATGCAGTGTATATTCCATAAACTGATGTTTGAAAGTGAAATAGTGGATGGAAGATTTTCCTTTAATGCAAAGCAAGGGGTGCTGTTCCCTTTCAACTGAATGGTCTCGTCCTTTTGATAAACATTTTACCTCCTTTGTTATGTTCTTTGCCTAGGACACAGCATGATGGACACTCTTGCTGTAGCTTTGCGTGTTGCAGAAGAAGCAATAGAAGAAGCTATTTCTAAGGCAGAGATGAACAGTGACAGCTTGGTGAAAATATTTTAATTAATATTCATTATTTTGGCAAATATCTTCCCCCTTTTTAGAAATAACTCCTGTTTAATTAGCAGTGAAGAAGGAGCACATCCTGATATTTACTGTCACAAGTTAATTTACTGCAGTGTTTTAAAGCACTGTAATGTCTAGTTCCTCATACATTGTAGCTGCATCCCTTTTTGACTGCAAAAAATAAAGTTGCATATGCCATGTTCTGCCCTGGAATCCCCCACCCCCTCCCCGCATTGCCAGCATAAAAACTCACCCTGGCCTACCTAGGCGAAGCAGAGTTCAAAACATGGCATGGCCACTTTAGATGCTTCTCCTCTTGGTGGATTGTTTGTGACTTTTAGACAAGTTGGAACAGTAGCCTGATAGATGAGACCAAAGATTGATCTAATAGAGCATCCTCTTTCTGAGGATGGCTGGCTAGATACTTCTGGGAAATCCATCAGAGTACGAACCTTTATTGTGTCTTCCACCTTCCCAATAGCCTTTATTGTGACTATTAAGTTAAAACTAGTCCTCCAAGCCACGTGCACAGATATCACTGGAGCTAATAGGCCTGGCTTTGAGGGCATTTGCTGAGTTTCTTTTCATGGACTGACCGTTGAGACATTCTACACATTTTCATGCTGCATTTCTAAGTAGTTACAAGTAAGCCAATGAATCTGTATCTATGCATGCCTTTTGTATAGGACAAACAGAATGAAGCTGTTTACTTACGAGACCATAAGGAAGAACTGATAGAAGAACTTGCTACTACTATTGTCCAGAAGGTATGTCTCAAGAACTTAGAAACATAGAAACAGAGCGAGTCAGAAGGGGTCTCCCGGGCCATCTAGTCTGACCCCTGGCTCCAGCCAGCTCCACTCACAACATGGCCACCATGTGCATGTCCAGCCTATCTTTGAACACCCTCACCGATGAGGCCTCAGCCACCTCCTGTGGAAGTCCATTCCGTACCCTTGGGGTCCTAACAGTCAGGAAGTGTTCCTGGCATCTAAATGGAACCTTGGTTCCCTGAGCTTTGCTCCTTTGGAGCATGTCTGCCTTCCTCCGCAGGGGAGAACAGGTCTCTTCCCACCTCCGTGTGACATCCCCTCACATACCTGTATGTCACCAACAGATCCCCTCTGAGTCTCCTCTTCTCCAGGCTGAAGAGACCCAGTTCCCTCAGTCTTGCCTCATATGGCATCCCCTGCAAACTGGCCACCAACCTTGTGGCCTTATGCTGCACTGCCTCTAACTTCTCTATTAGGTGAACTCTGCTAGTAGGAATGATAATGGATAGAAACATGTTAGTTATGATTGGCATTTTTGTAAATGTCACATTCGTTGTCTCTTTAAGCCTTGCAACATCCTCTTGAAGGTACATCAGAATTCTTAATCCCAGTCTGAGGAGCAGAGCCAGGGGCTTCCCATAGGCTGCACACTTGAGTTCATACGTAGGTGAGGCAGGGAATATCCAGCTCTCAGTTCACATTCTGACCAATTATGCATGGCTAGTTCTATGACCTCATTATAAATTATCTTTGCTTCCACTGTAATAAGCCACAAAGGTCAGAATATGAATAATTCTCTAGGAATGTTAAAGCTTTAGAGCTCCTTAAGCCCTAAGGATGACTTTGGACTCCATACCACTCCGAAATAGGGAGTATGTGGCATTGTTTGTTTGTGAGCTTGATTTTCTTATTTGGATAATGTGGTGTAACTTACTTGGTTATGTTTTGTTGTTCAGAATTAACCACACTCTGCTAGTAATGAGTCTTGCCCCTTCTTGTTATTTACATCAGGGCAACCTGATTCTTCACTGCTTTTGGATACCTCTTTTCCCCAAGACAGGGTTCAGCATGTAGTTTCCTGTCTTTTGATTCTTCCTAGCAGTTCAACAATGTACATGAATTCAGTGCTGCATTGCAGTAAGAGCTCATAGCTGTAAAACAATGTGTGCACTTGGGATTAGAGAGATGTAACATTCAGGGGTGGAATATGTCTCTCACCAAACATGTGAAAACATTGGGTTTTTTAAATGAGTGAATACATGGGCACAATGTTTGCCATGCCTTGATTAGCATTTTGTTTGCCTGCTAGAGTAGAGATGTGCAAAATCGATTAATAATATGGATTTGGCCTCAGTGGTATTACTTACCTTCTCTTCATTACATGCTTTGGCTACTTCTATAAAATGCCTCCACCACCTGTTTTACTGAATACTTAATTACATATCATGAAAAACAAATGTTTTCACCTTCTTTCTATGTTTCAATATGATCACCTTCCATGTGAGCTTCTGTATAGCCTGAAGTGCTGAAGCTAAGCAGGATCAGGCCTGTTTGAAATCTGGATGGGTGAACTTAAATGTTGTGAACCACCCAGAGAGTTTGGATCCAAGGGGTATAGAAATGCAATGTCATAATAATAATCAACTAAGCATGGATCTCCTTTGTAGGAGAATATGGAAGGACTCATAGCTCCACTATACATGGTTAGGAGAATGATTAGTTTCATATTTCAGGAATAATATGTAATATATTTTCAATGCAAACTGAAAATTAGTAGCACATAATATTATCAGTATATATTTTAATAATTTACTTTTAAGTTCAGTGGATTCAGATAATATTAACAATGTATGTAAGTTGTCAAAATCAATCCTTCAGGAGCTAGATTAAAACCAAAGACAACTGTAAGGTTTCAGTTTCACATCTTGATGATTCAGCTCCAAGCCAGATTGATGTGGCTCCAGCAGTAATGATTTACAATGAACCTGCTCTTGTTTCCTTTTTGACTTGCTGCAGATCATAAGAAAGCAGAAAAACAAGCCTGAGCAAGTGGAAGCTGGCTTTGAGTGGCCCCAGTCCAGGAGCAGCAGTGGCCTCACAACCGCTACTCTCTCGGATCAGAGCATGCTGACCTTCCCAGGGAGCCGCCGGGGATCATACACATTATGGGTGAGCTACCAAAACTGGCCACTGGAGCTTTTTTTACTTGCATGAAGGTGACATGTAGCAACAAAGGAGATGTATGGAAGTTGGGATAATAGAGAATATAAAAACAGAAGAGCAGCATGATACCAGCATGAAAAGTGCTGTTTTGAACAAAGGACAATGAGCTGTGTCCTGATTTTGCTCATAAACCAAGACTCAAAGCATTGGAGACAACAAAATTGGACAGGAGCACTTAATGGTGTGGAAAGTTGAGCTGTACTTGTGTGTTCACAGCTATGGATATAGATTTTTACTGGCAGCAAGCCACGGTTTGGCTTCAGCAAATGTGAAGCTTAGTGCAAAGTACTACTACTTTGAGAAATGATGTAGTGTTGTTGTTGAGTTCTTTCATTCCCTTTTCTCAGATATTAAAGGTGTCAATTCAAAATTCAATTTAAAATATTGCCTTTTAAAATGGCTTCTTTGCTCTCTTTCCCAGGTAAATTTAACAGTTGTAGAGAACCACTTACGTATCATGTTATATTTAAGACTATTCCCACATCCCTGGGGTTTTTTTTCTCTCAGCATAAAGACTTTATAGTCTACTAGACAACTGCAGAAAATCTGACAAGCAAGAATAAAGTGTGATGAGTTGTGCAACTAAGGAATAAAAAGCAGAGAAGAAAAAGACTACATCATTTCTTTGCATGGTGTATTTTAAGTTGATGAAGAATATTTAATTTACTGAATATATTCAGGCACCCTCTTAATTATTTATTTGTTGATTTATTCCTACATTTACCATTCTGAACAGATACACATAAAGCAACTTTCAAAAGCAGAGGAAACCAAATAAAATGATCATTAAAATGTAATAAATACATCACAATAACACACTGAGGCAAAACATAACTTAAAACAAATCTAGAGAACCCTAGCTAAAAACCATAATTTTTAAAGACACTTGCCCTGAACTCTTTTTTATCACTACATGAGTGGGTCTTGTAAGCGTTCTACTACAGAAAGGTTACAAAACAGGATGTCGTGCTGCCATTTTTGCATGACACAGAACCTACCTGTGAATAAATTATGAATAGCTACCTGAAAAAAAAGTGAGCTTACCATGGATTGTCCTCCGCATCCTTGCCCTTGTCTTCAAGTCTGCATGGCAGAGCCTGTCCCCTCCCTCTTCTTTCTCAATACTGGCTTTGTTCAGGGATTGTTCCTCCTGAGCCGCATGCCCCCACCAGGGACTGCTGCTTCCGCATTGTTCAGGTGGCACCATTGCTGTCTTGCTACCCTTCCATTCACAGGCAGACCCTGGCTTATGAATGAGTTCCATTTTTGAGAAAACAGAAATTTGTCTTTAAATGAAATTTGTATGCAAGTCAGATCATGTATAGTCGGCCCTCTGCATTTGTGGGGGTTAGGGGTGCAGAACCCCCATGAAAATGGAGAAGCCATGCATGGAACAACCCACCTCACCCAAACTCACCAGTGCTGCCTCTTTGCAGCAAGGACATGCCAGAATGATTTCGCTTTCCTAATAGGAGGGGCAGGAAGACATGCTTTGGAAGGAGGCCTCCCTCTCTAGCCTTTCACCTCCTCTCTCTATGGTGATGACGATTTTCCACAGTATGTTTTTAAATTAATAGGCTTCATGACGGTTCATTCATAAGTTCAGGTTGTTCATAACTTGGGCGTTCATGACTCAGGCTGTCTGTCTGTATTTTTGTGGGGATGTGCACATATTCACAAATATCTTCACAGTTTTTTTCTTTCTTTCTTGGTCAGCTCATGGATTTGCACAAGTGTGCACTTACAGCTGTCAAAAATATGTTTTGCCTGATCTATTAATTTGTCAGTTACAACCGTCAGATGGGTAATGAAGTAAGGAGGTGAGACTGCATTTAGGCTAACATGCAGACAGATGGCAGCTGGTAAGTACCTAGCTGCATTTGCTTGTGGATTGTTTCCCATTTGCTCATATGTTCTAATTGACAAGGTAATAGACCAGGCAAGGCTAAGCCGTAAGTACGCATGTCAGCAACTTCAAGATGCCATTTTTTAAAAAAAAAAAATAAAGATATTTGCCCTGCCCTCTCCATTTTTTTTAAGTGGCAAAGCAGCGATGATTATTTCCATATGCCACTTGGGCATCAGTGGAAGAGCGAGCATTTTACTTGTCATTTCCCACAATGGGATCACTCTCCTGTGTTCAGACAAGACACCAACCCATCAACAGCCCCTAGAACAAGCTGTGCTTGTCAGGGCGGTTCATTGTCCCAAAGCAAGCCACACTGCAAGAAACAGTCTGGTTTTGGATGACATGAAACTCACTGTGCCTCACAATATGTTGCTATCATAGGAGAATCCAGTCAATGGATTATTCTGTTAGATCACATATCAGTGATTCTTACTTTTCCAGTTAATGGGGCATTGATGTAAACAGACACCTCTGCTTACATTACCTCTAGTTTGAAACAAGCTAGCTAAGAAGAAAAAAAATGTTTTGCTATTACAGATGCCTTCTTAGAAAACAGAAAATTCAACAATTAGGTGAGGATTATGGGAATAAGAACATGTTATTCATATGATTTGTGAAAAACCCTAAAAAAAGAAACTCTGATGTATTTGTATTAAAAGTATTTGTTCGGCTATTTATTAGTTAAGGCGAGTCAAAAGGTTGTTCAGCACAATCTGTATACACCCACAGAGAGGGATCTTTGTTACTCCATACTACATTTTGCTGTATTATTTTCATTACTCATTTATTACATTTCCATACCAACCAAAAGCTAAAGCTGTCTGTTCAGTTTTCAAAGATTAATGACCTTAAAATACAGTATTACACATGATTTGCATACAGACATAGAAACACACACATGCTCACATATCACTAAGCAATTTTAATAGTAAAAACATTTACTGGTTGAAAAGACAGAATCCCAGAACCCAGTTAAAAACCTCATCATATGCTGCCAAATGCTTCCAAATAGAGGAAGGTCTGAACTTGGTACCAAAAAGATAGCAGGGTTGATACCAGGCAGGTGTGACTGAAGAGACTGTTCCATAATGAAGGCATCACCAACAGGGGCACCCTCTTCCTTGATGCCTTCCAAGTTCCCCTGTAGGAGGGATGCAGAGGAGGGCTGTAGAGGATGAGTGCAGTATATAAAGGTAGCTGCTCCCTGCTGGGAGATGCATACAGGCAGTCATTGCAAGCAGGCCAAAAATATTGCCCAAGATCTAAAGAAGCATGTAGCTAATTTCATAGACCTGAGGGAACCCATTTTTTTCTTGAAGAACATCCTCCCTTGTCTGTGTGCCTCTGGATCTTTCAAAACAGATTGTGATCTTCTTGGGGGTCCTGCTGTTCCAGAGAAAAGCAGACAGACATCCCCTTTTGGCATGCCAAAGTCCGCATCCTTTGGATCCTGACATTCTTAATGAGTCATTGGTATAACTGGGAACAGAGTTGCACCTAAAATTTTGCAATGAGATGTGCTACTTAAGCAGCAACTTTGCTGCTTCATAATATAATTTTCATTTCGTATAGCCCTTTGATGAGCACATTGGGCTCTTAAGGCATACAAGAGAACAAAGTTTATTGCTTTGAGACTGATAAATAGTGCAAGCTTAAATTAGGCACAAAATTTAATAAATGGTCAGAAATTTGCAGAATGATAGGAATGTGGTAGAAAAAAAAAACAGTGATCAAGGGGAAAAGGCTTTTTCTTCATAGCCTAAAACAAGAAACCAGACATGTTGTCAATTTATTTTATTAGTTTTATTTCTATGAAAGAATGTTGCTTATATAATTTGCCAAATATCTTGAGACTGTAAAGGCCTAATTGAAAACTGTGATACCAAGAGAATGCTTCACTGAAGTATATTGCAAGTTATTTTTAGTTGGGTGCATTTGTATGGCTGTGCCCATAAAAGCATATAAAAATTGAAGCCTATAGGCTTTTCTTGTCAAAGGGGTGTTGAGTAGGGTATGCTATGATTAACTGTGATGGCTTCTATTCAGAGTAGAACACATCTCGAAAAGACAAGAATGGAAACCAAAAGGTTTTTCTAAAATGAGTGCTGAATACAAAGAGGGGGATAAAAACAAGCAAATAAGGAAATGCTAATTTGAAGGCCCTGCAGAGCTATCTTGTGGATATGGAAATTTAAATGGTCCAATTTTGACCTGCTTAATAAAGCAGAAGTGGGCCACTTTGGAAGGTTGGCTCATAGGTACTGGGTTTGCTTCTCCTAAAATATAGCATTCTGAGGTGGTTATCTCAGACTCTGAGTATGAACTGGAAGAAGAGGCAGTGTTGTAGTTCTTCGTTGAAATATAAAGGCTGACAACTCCCAAGATAAGTCAAGCAGGTGGTGAGAACCCAAGCACATCTGGTTTGGGAGACACTCAGGGCCAGAGGGAGAGGTATGTAATTTGGTAAGTCTGATCATGCAATGGCAGTTCAAGCAAGCTGACCAACTGGGTGATGTCTGGCATTTACACTGTCTGACCCACAAGTGGTGGGAACCTCCCTGAGGGTGGAGTGAACTCCATTTGGATGAGAAGGGAGGAGAGGGTTTCAGCTTGGAATCAAGTTCTTGAGTAGTACTTTCTCTCTCTCATTAGCTGACTCATTATCACTAATGACCTCTGTGATGCTCCTGCTGCATCGCCAGATCAGTGTGGCTGCCCCTCTTTATCATAATGAAGTCTGTAACTAGACCAGTAGACTAAAGGGTTTCATTTTGTCTGTTTGGAAGAGCAAGGGAGAAGGTGGAGGGGAAGAGTGACTGGCTCGCAACCAGGAGGCCAATTGGCTCTCATGGAAGCCCATGAGAGCTGCACTCCTCTCTGTTACAGCTGGATGTGGCTGTACTGGTGGAATGTAGGAATACTGGGTGGAATCAAGGCATGTGAAGAGTACATTCCTTATTTCCCAACAGAATTGGACGCCAGACAGTTTGGAGCTCTAGTCTGTGGAGAAACAGGGTGTGCAACCCCTGCATGGCCC